ATGAAGTGGTTTAATATTTTTTACAGATGGGGTTGTACATTGCCCAAAGTTAATTTTTTAGAGGGGGTGGGCATTAAAAGAAAAATTTGATACAAGGGGGAGGGGCCAATTTTTTTGCTGATGACAGTTCTTTCGAGAGTTTCTGAACAGAATTTAGTAGGGTCATAAAAAAAGGGAATTTAAAGTGACATAGTAAAAAGCAATTAGAGTAAAAAAAAAAACTCTGGGGATAAAAGAAGGACATCAGTTTAAAAGGAAGGGAGTATGGATATTTGGGAATATCAGATTTTTTGAAAGGGGACCTTCAGAAGACGGTCTACAAGACGGAAGATGAACCAAATTGATGAAGGAATAAAATGGGAGATGCATTAAAAAAACTACCTATGGAAACAAAAGGAACCCTGAGAAAGCGTACCAACACTTAACCCTTTTGACTGTACGGCCCGTATTATACTCTTACGGGGACGTGTTTGACTAATACAGTGGACCCCCGCTAACATCACCTCCAAATGCGCCCCAATTATGTAAGTGTATTTAGTAAGTGGTTTGTACTTATTTTGGGGTCTGAAATGACTAATCACTTCACAATATTCCTTAGGGGAAAAAATTCGGTCATACTGGCACCTAAACATACTAGGGAATAAAAAGTTCGTTAACCGGGGTCCACTGTATACTAAAATTCTAGCGGCTTCAATCAAGAAGGAGAAAGCGGGTAGGCCCCATGGGGGGAAGGGGGTCTGTGGGGTCAGGTGCACCACATAAAAACCTGGAGCACGCATGCATAATGAGAAAAAAAAACTCCGACCTTTTTTTTTTTTTAATTAAAATGCCACTTTTGGTCTATTTTCGTATAGTATTTAGGGCTGTTTTCTCGTTTCTTGGGTCTCCTTTGATAGAATGGAAAACATATTTTTTTAAAAAAAAGAGATGATTTGATGATTTTTCTATAAAAAAACCTGGAAATGGAGCCAAAGTAGGGGAAAAGTTTTATTTTGCCGAGTTCAAAAGTAAAAAAATGACATCATTATCCAACAAAAAGTCCCCAAACCATTCTAATAGCAGTCATGAATGGGGGATGTTATTTTTACGTTTTAAGTATGGATAGCCCCGCATAAAATAAATCTTTGTTTTTTTTTTGAATAAAAATTCAAAAAAAGAAAGCAAGAGTAAATTTCAGATGGGCCTGGAGACAGACTGATGAACAAAGAAAATGTTTATTTTAGAGCCGGGAATGTCTGCATTGTTCATTCTGGACCTTATTTTGAAATTGTCATTTTTTAATTTTCGTGAAATTGGCCAAATTGCAAATTTCTGACCACGTTACTGGGTAGTTGAAATTGGTAAATGGGCAGTTTCTTGTACTCAATCGATAGAAAAACCAGAGTTCTAAAGAAGTAGCTATGAGTTTGATCGACTGGAACAATGGAATTAGCCGAAAATAGGACTCAAAGTGGGCGAAATCACTGATTTGTAAGTATCGCCAAGGTCGCTAACTTTGCGAGAGCGTAATTCCATCAGTTTTCCATCAAATTTTGTTTTTTTGGTGTCATTACAATCGGGAAAAGATTCTCTATCATTTCATAAGATTTTTTTTTTTTTTTAAATTTTGCGACACCAGGAGACACCTCAGGATTGGGGGTTGCGACAGTCAAGGGGTTAAGTGGGTGTGAAACCTGGGTTTTAAATGTTGCAGTGAGGTGGCTGAAGGCAGTGGATATGTGGTGTCAGAGGGTAATGTGTAGTGAATTTCATGCAAAATATCTTAATCATGAAGATAGTGTGGGGCTACCAGAGAGAGCAAAGGAGGGGGGGGGGTGAGGTGGTTTGGACATTTAGAGGATGGAGGAAAAAAGAATGAACAGAATGACGAAGCATATCAATGTGGGAGTGGAAGAAAGGAGGGAGAGGGGCAGGGGTACCCTCAGGAAGGGTTGGAAGGAGGATGAGGGAATCTAAGGGTGGTTTTGAACATTAGGGGCTCAGACATCAAACAAGCTTGGGTAAGAATGCTAGAGGTGAGTGGTGGCTAGTGTTGCAAGTGATTTGACATCCTGCTGGAGTGAACAGAAATGAAGATGCTCAGGGAAACCTGTTATCTAGACTTGAGGGCTGGAGAGGAAGTACAGCGCCTTCACTCTGAAGGAGGGAAGAGGATGTTGCACTTCAAGGATCAGTCGAGCTGTAATGTTGGTACACTTCTGGGAAGAGCACTAGTAAATATGGGGGGGGGGAGCACCCTCCCACCTTATCTCTGTGGGAGACAGCTAATGTGTTAAATTTAAATTATGTACAGCATTTTTTGGGAAAAGAAATAAAAGTGGTAAATTTAGAATATTCAATGTGAACTACTCACGATCAACATTGAGCAAGAGAGATCCATTTTTCCATGCAGCAGGTCTGAGGGAAGCGAAGAATCCAACCACAGCATCTTTGCCCCCACCAATGTCATATGGATGTCCAAATGCTCCATCCATAGAATAAAAGCTGTTCCTGCCAACTCTTTCATATCTGATGCTTGAGTTGTGTTGAGACATTACTTCCAACATCTGAAAGTATTTACCATTGTAATGAATATCTAAGCGAACATTAAGTCTTGTATTATTCATATCACTATATATTGGTATCTTAAGAAAATTTTTTCCCCCCCCCCCCTCTGTCTTACATTTTGGGCAAAGACTGTCAATTATACCACTCTTACTTTTACAACTAAAATTTAACTGATAAATATTCAAACAAATCAAACATTTAAAAACAGAGTGAGGGTTATATGTTATTTATGGGATCATGACTGGCAGCTGTGCTTCACACAAGCAGTCAAAACTGCACTGCAAATACACTTACAGGAAAAAAACACAGGAAAGAAAGCCTATGTTTGTGCTGAATGCACGTAAAAACTAAGGAAGGGACCATACCAAAATTATTGAGGATACCAATGGCTTTAGGCCAATACAATCAAAATTAGCAGTTATTCACTGATACCAATAGTGAAGCACACACATCCAGTAAAATCTTTACTAATTTCTTGTCATCTTGTATATACAACCAAGAGAGGAAAGGCCAGCACTCCTGCCAGTGCTCAACATTTAAGAGTCAAGTGTCTCACACTTGTGCCTTGACCGCAAAGTGGTGAATTAAGGTCCTCATGGATCCCTAAGCACTAAGACCTTGGCAGTCTTCATTCATTTTTTAACACCACATACATCTCCCACTGAAGCAAGGTGACTCAATACAGAAAAAGCATTCAGTCACAGTTATCCACACACAGTTACCAAAAGTGTGCCAACATCCCTGCCCAGCTAAACCTCCAAACTGCAACATCCCTGCCCTTCCTTCAGAGTACATAACTCAGTCTGGCAAACCAATTTTCCTTGAATCCCTACACGAATGTTACCTTGCTTACATTCCAACAGTCATAAAAACCACTTCACATACCATCCTGTCTAATGTACTCATACAAGCATGTTGTGTTCAAGCCCCTAGCACTGTAAACCTTTACCCCCCCCCCCCCAAGTTTCCAACTTTTCCTATAATGACACCTACGACTCATTCCTTCCCTCCACCCCAGATTTAAATACCCTAATTAGTCATCCTGTTTTGCTCTATCCTCTAAATGCCCAAACCATCTCAACACCACCTCAGCCTTCTGAACTATACTATTAGGAATCCCACACCAACTTATCACCACTCCAAATTCTATGCCTAATTTTCACATAACATTGCCCTTCTTAACCATTAAACTGTCTAAATGTTTTCAATGCCAGCACTCCCAATATTTAAAAAAAAACAAAAAATTTAATTAACTGAAGAGGGCAATTTTCTGTGGGTAATACGACAAATAAATTTTAGGGCCAGTACTTGCCGAGATATAAGGCTGCGAAGTTGGGCGCTGGATGCTCACCTGATAGCAAGCATGGAGTTCTGCCAAATGCAGAAGTGTTGCCAATGTACCTTTTTTCTCTTATTTTAATTTATATAATTTTAAGTCTGATAATTACAATTTATAGTACTTGTTATTTCATAGCTAATCTTTGTTCTGACACTAATAAAGATACTGAAAGTACTCAAATAGTCACACAGTAACAGGTGACCATTTCCACCTGTCTTGGTCACATACTATTGTCTACAAATATATACAAAGTATTTATGGGTCCCAGCAATGTTTTAGACAGGCTGGAGCATATATGAAACTCCTCGACGCATGGTGTAAGACGAATGTCACTACTGCTGACAGTGCAGCAGTGGAGTGATACTTTATGATCGAGCACTGCTCCAGGGAACTGTGGCTTTGTTTTCACTGTTACACAAACATGTCTGTTTGCTTATTTGGCTTTCTGTTTGCCTGTGCGTGCGTCTGTGTCTCTGTCTCAGAGCCGCTCATGAAACAACAGGCATTACACATGATGCAGAGTAGTCACATCCGATTCCTGATCAAGTGAAGATACGTATACTGCCAATCATGCTAATTATGCCTTATATCTACAAGCACAGTATAGCATGTTGTGTACAATTTTTTGGTTATCCTAGGTAATTTACACTATGTATGATAACTGTACAGTGGAACCTCAAAATTCGAACGTATCACATATCGAACCCTTCAAAAATAGTAGCCTTTTTTCGAACCAACTTTGTCCCTATTATCGAATGCGCCCCTATTTTTGGACCGCTGGGTACCGGACCTGTCCACCAGCCCACTCTGTCCGCGTCCCCACGCAGGCGCCGTGAGCCAGTCTGGCTTTGTTTATGCTTGAATGAACACTAACCTGCGCTCTCATTCAAACATTTTACGATTATTTCATTGTGTTTAGTGCTTGTGGGACTGAAATAAACTACCATGGGCCCAAAAAAACTTGCTTGTGACATCCCTGTGGTAAAGAAAGTGAGAAACACCATAGATGTGAATAAGGAAATAATGAAGTATAAGAGTGGTGCGAGATTTGTTGAGCTTGCCAGGATGTACAGAGGACTGTAGACAGTTATTTTGTGAGACAGGGGTCCAGTGACTAAGCTGGTCCTAGTGGCATTAAAAGACAGAAGAGAAGTAACCCAGAGAGGGCTCTGATACCGGAAGTCCTCATGGAGGGAGATTCTCCTTCCAACACTAACCCCAACTCCCTCTCTCTCCTCCTCCCTATCTTCCAGATGCGATCACCAACCTTCAGTAAAGGTAAGGAAAAATGTTATTTTATATTTATATACATGATTGAACACTATAGTATTTGTTGTGTATGTAAAACTAATTAATTTCTATAAAATTTATTTTTTTTTTGTGAATATTTTTGGGTTTCTGCAACGGATTAATTGTATTTCCATTAATTCTTGTGGGAAATATTGCTTTGATTTTCAGACTTTTCAAATTTAGAACTAGCTCCTGGAACGGATTAAGTTTGAAATTTGAGGTTCCACTGTACTTAAGTGTACCTGTGAGATTGACAGACAAGAGACAGAGCTAAGCGACAGATACAGACAGCCCGAGTCAATCAGCCAGCCAGCAAATAAGTACAGTGGACCCCCGCATAGCGAACGCCTTGCATAGCGAACAATCCGCATAGCGAACGCTTTGTTCGCTAAAATTTTGCCCCGCATAGTGGACAAAAACCCGCTCAGCGACCTTCGTCCGAGACGCGTCCAATGTGGGCCCTCAGCCAGCCTCACATGTGCCGCCCGTCCCATTGTTTACCAGCTAGCCTCCGCGGTAACATTCAAGCATACACTCGGAATATTTCGTTATTATTACAGTGTTTTCGGTGCTGTTTTGTGGAAAATAAGTGACCATGGGCCCCAAGAAAGCTTCTAGTGCCAACCCTACACCTCAAAGGGTAAGAATACCCATTGAAAATTAAGAAAGAGATCATTGATAAGTATGAAAGTGGAAAGTACGTATCACCGACCTGGTCAGGTTGTACAAGAAACCAAAATCAACCTTTCGCTTCTATTGTGGGCAAGAAAACGGCAATCAAGGAAGCTGTTGTTGCCAAAGGTTTAACTGTTTTCGAAACAAAGATCGCAAGTGATGGAAGATGTTGAGAGACTGTTATTGGTGTGGATAAATGAAAAACAGCTAGCAGGAGATAGCGTCTCTCAAGCGATCATATGTGAAAAGGCTAGGAAGTTGCATGACGATTTAATTAAAAAAATGCCTGAAACTAGTGATGATGTGAGTGAATTTAAGGCCACCCAAGGTTTGGGTTTGAGAAAATTTAAGAAGCGTAGTGGCATCCATAGTGTGATACGGCATGGTGAGCGCCAGTTCGGACCACAAAGCGGCTGAAAATATGTGCATGAATTCAAGGAGAAACATAGAAACTGAAGGACTGGAACCTGAACAAGTGTTTAATTGTGATGAAACAGGCCTGTTCTGGAAGAAAAATGCCAAGCAGGACCTACATTACTCAGGAGGAAAAGGCACTCCCAGGACATAAGCCTATGAAGACAGGCTTACTTTGTTGATGTGTCCAATGCTAGTGGTGATTGCAAAGTTAAGCCTTTATTATGTATCACTCTGAAACTCCCAGACGTTCAGGAAAAAGGGAATGTCCTCAAGGATAATTTGTGTGTGCGTGGAGGGCAAACAGAAAGGCATGGTCACTGGGGAATTTTTCTATAACTGGTTACACCATGCATTTGCCCCCAATGTGAAAGATTCCCTAACTGAAAAGAAATTAGACCTTAATGCCTCCTGGTGTTAGACAATGCCCCTGGTCATCCTACAGACGTGGCAGAGCGACTTTAGGGGGACATGAGCTTCATTAAGGTGAAGTTTTTGCCTCCTAATACCACTCCTCTCCTGCAGCCCATGGACCAGCGGGTCATTTCCAACTTCAAGAAACTGTACACAAAAGCTCTGTTTCAAAAGTGCTTTGAAGTGACCACAGACCTGGATTGACTCTAAAAGAGTTTTGGAAAGGATCACTTTAATATCCTCAGTTGTGTAAACCTTAATAGTAAGGCTTGGAGGGAGTCCCTAAGAGAACCTTGAACTCTGCTTGGAAGAAACTGGCCAGAATGTGTAGACAAAAGGGATTTTGAAGGGTTTGAGGCTAACCCTGAGAGTAGTAGTATACCATTGAGGAATCAATTGTGGGAAATTTGGGGAAGTCCTTGGGGTTGGAGGTTAGTGGGGAGGGTGTGGAAGAGTTGGTGGAGGAGGACAATGAAGAACTAACCACTGATGACTGATAGATCAACTTTAAGAGCAAGAGGCCAGACCTGGGGAAACTGGTTCAAAGGAGGGGAGAGAGAAATTGAAGGGAAATTTCCTACTTCAAAGATTAAGAAATGTGTCAAAATGGCTTGAAGTGCAAACCTTTTTTGATGAAAATCACCCTCACACAGCTATTGCAAGCCGTGCTGGTGACTGTTACAATGACACTGTTGTGAACCACTTTAGACAAATCATAAAGGAACGAGAGGTACAGATAAGATAAGATAAGATTTCGTTCGGATTTTTAACCCCGGAGGGTTAGCCACCCAGGATAACCCAAGAAAGTCAGTGCGTCATCGAGGACTGTCTAACTTATTTCCATTGGGGTCCTTAATCTTGTCCCCC